AAAGGATAGATAGGATAAGAATTGATTTTCAGCGCTATCTCTTGAGTATTATTTGAAGCTTCTCCTATTCTATAGGTTTCTATATGTCTTCGAGAGATGGCGCTAGTAATCAATTCTTTTATTTCTATCCTTTTTCTATTATTTTCTGTCCTTCCTTTTTGTGTTTCATTTGCGGCACTCTGAAGATGGCGCTGAATTCAATATTTTTATCCTATCTCTGTCCTTCTCCCATTATTTACTTTCCTTGTCTTACTTGCAGTGGGAATTTAAACCGCTCAAAAAGATTTCCGATATGTATCGATTAGAAATCTTTATAAAATTTATTCGATCCAATTTTTATACGTTAAAAGTATCTTATAAATATTTATTTCATATATTTAAATGTAATATTTCATAATAACAATATGTAATCTTGCTAATAACTTCTTACAGACTTTTTATATTGTGTCTACCATTCTTGAATAGATATAAAGAAAAAATTTCAATAAATTTTATCATTTATTTGAATGTAACTAAAAAAGATACATATTTAATTTACTCTATAATGCTGCAAACGAAACATAAAAACAAAGGAGGGAAAATAATAGAAAAAGGATAAAAATAAGGTAAGAATTGACCTTCGGCGCCATCTCTTGAATATTATATGAAACTTTTTCTATTAAGGTTTCTAAGAACTTTCGAGAGATGGCGCCATTAGTCAATTCTATTAATTCACGAAGTAAGACAAGGAAGTAAATAATGGGAAAAGGATAGAGATAGGATGAAAATATGGAATTTAGTGCCATCTTTAGAGTGCCGCAAACGAAATACAAGAAAAAGGGATAGGAAATAGTAGAAAAAGGATAGATAAAGTAAGAATTGATTTTCAGCGCCATCTCTTGAATATTATCTGAAACTTCTCCTATTCTATAGGTTTCTATATATCTTCGAGAGATGGCGCTAGTAATCAATTCTTTTATTTCTATCCTTTTTCTATTATTTTCTGTCCTTCCTTTTTGTGTTTCATTTGCGGCACTCTGAAGATGGCGCTGAATTCAATATTTTTATCCTATCTCTGTCCTTCTCCCATTATTTACTTTCCTTGTCTTACTTACACTGGGAATTTAAACTGCTCAAAGAGGTTTCCGATATTTATTAATTAAAAATCTTTATAAAATTTATTCGATCCAATTTTTATACGTTATAATCTTATAAATATATATCTTATAAATATATATTTCATATATTTAAATGTAATATTTTATTATAACAATATGTATCCTTGCTAATAATTTCCTATAGACTTTTTATATTATATTTACCGTTCTTGAATAAATATAAATAAATATAAAAAAAATTTCAATAACTTTTATCACTTATTTAAATATAAATAAAAAAGAAACTTATTTAATTATAATTTCACGTAAATGTCCAAATAAATTACACCCTTTTCACATCTTTATAGACAATATTAAACGTAATTCGCATTAAATAAAGAGAAAATAAAAAATAAAGTTAGAGGAATGAATTATGTCAGAATTCTGTCTGCTTTACACATTCCATGTATTCTACGTAATAGTAACAATCGCACGATATCATTTTCTATACTATACAATTAACGCTCATCTACGAACCAATACCATCACATTTCTGCAATAACTTCTGATTTCTACAGTTATCATAATTAATGGTTACCATTTCATTATCCTCCTTTCTTCCATTTCCATATTTTCATGCACCCGGTGAGTCATCAAGCTTTTACAATCGAACAAGATTATATTTCATCTGATCGACTCGCTCACGTAAATCTAAATCCCTATTAAAATAAATATACTTAATGCTAAAATATAAAATATAAAAATATATATTACAAATGATCCAAATTTCTTTTCTTTCCCTATTATTGTTTTAGATTAAAAATAATTATTAATCAACGGTTAATTAATAAGTTAGAGAAATTATTAACGAAAAAAATATACGAAAATTTATCGCGATCAACAGTAATTATAGATAAGAGAAATTAGTAATTTCGCTAATAATTTCTTTTTTTTCTTAAATATATTATCATAAATTAAAAAGTAAAAAAATGATATTATCTTACTTTGGCACGTAAAAATTAATTGCTTAATTCCATCAGTAAAGCATCGAACGTTCTATTTTTGAGCTGTTCCGTTGAAACGCAGTTCTTCCTTACGATGTACTTTCTCCGCCAGTTTCCGCGGAATCTTTTTTTCTCCTCGTTCCTTTCGAATATCATCGAGGAACTTTCCTTGTTCCTTGGGTTTGTACTAAGTTTTTTTTTTTTTCGGAACATCGCGTTACAAGTCCTGCGTGGCTAATTAACTTCGTTGGATCAGAATTATCTATCGACTCGATCGTACGTTGCTGCACTGATTTTCCTGGTCAAATCATTCTATATGCTGTGAGAAAGTATTCGAGAAAATGTTTTAAAAAGACTTTTATTTCACGTTTCATCTATGCTATCGATCTTGGATCGAATGGATAATTGATGAAAATTTTCTATTGTTTTTTTCCGGAATTATCATGGAAAATTCTTTTTAAGTTTTCATGCGACGAATCCAAAGATTAATTGGCAATGAAATTAAATAGTTAAAGGATTCAAATATATACGTAATTTATTTTATTTTCTGGATAGTTTTTTACGAGTATATTATAAAAACGTTTTATAATACACACGTTTTATTGTAGTTTTTAATAGTATTCCCTCTTCTTTTTTCTCCTTACTTTTAAACAAATAAGTTAAATTAAATTATTCAAATAAATTTAAGCATTCAACATTTCATTGTTGTATGCCTATTAATATATTAATTAATAAGTTTGAACTAAAAATTGACATAAAAGTAAGAGTGTTACGTAGATATTATTCTTTTAACTTTTCCTTTAAGCGAAAACTTCCTGTTACTCTCAAGAATTAACGAAGAATCTGACAATTTCGAAAATTACCGTGATTTTTCACACGGATCTGGATAAAAAAAAGAAAAAAGCCGAGATTGCTCCTTTAGTATCCCAGGTTTACGAGGTTCTTAGACTTCGTTTAGAACGAATTATAGCCCTCTTGTACAACATCCACGTAATATCCTCTAATTTTGCCCGCGTAGCTGACATTTTTTTCACACGGATCGATTTAATATATTTTCGCCTCAACAATAAATTCCGTGAACCGTGTTTTCGCAATGGAACGGATTTTTTTTTTCGAAAAATTTGCTTCAACTCTGAAATTCATTTCAATAAATAATAATGATCAATTCGAAAAAATATCGATTTTTTTACGTACTATTGTTACAAAAAGATTTTGAAATGTTGGAAATAAACGTGAATTTGTAAAAAAAAATTGTATCGTGAAAATGTTTAGAGATATTAATAAAAAAATAAATGTAACTTTGGTAAAAATTTCAATTCATAAAAGAATGCAATGAAGATGTGATGCGCGATAAAAAGCATGCAAAGATCTTTAAAAACAATCTGAATTGATAGTGTTATGCGTGTTTCGATGCACGATGCGCATCTCCATTGAATTACGTTGGTTCTTAAGAGATGAGGATGCACGTCGAGATAAGCCTCACAATTTATAGTCGATTTGCAGTCAATTTACATTTTTTGAAAATTAAAAAGTTCAGAATCACTGTAGACGATAGCTATTTTCTAGTTGTGTACCAATTTTTATTTCTCTATTTCAGATATTTTTATGGCTGTTATTAGACCTCATTAATAAGTGATTTGAGTCAATTATCGGAAATCATTTGCACGTTATAAACGTTAGTTATTCACGATTTGTAAAAGCATAAAGCAATCGCTTACGACATGCACAAAGGAATGGCTTTTGTTTTTACTTTTTTTTTTTTCTTAAATTGGTATGGACATATTCTGATTTAGAGATTTTGAAATTCTTCGATATTTTCTTTTCTCCGTCATTTTTAAATTCTTTTCAACGAAAAAGGACACGAATAGTTATATTACACACTATCTAAATAATTTATATTATCCGTTTTCGTTTGAACGAAAATTTCTCTTTTTCCTTGTAAAATGTATTTTATTACGTATTATATATAATTGAATAGAAGAGGTAATATATATTGTTGTTACGTTATTTTCCATTTCTTCTTTGTTATGCTTTAACGGAAGACAAATAAAACATTTGATGTACGGAACCGGTTTCATTGACTTCAACAGTCAGCTCTTTGACGTACGAGCGATTGATTAAGTAACAAATCTTAATTTCAAGTTGGTTGAACTGCACCAACATGCGACAGTCTTTTTTATAGATATTACGTGACGTATTTATTTTTTTCTCATTACAGATATTCCAAGAATTTGGAAAAAATAATAATATTTCTCGAAACAAAAAAAAAAAGAAAAAAAATGCTCGAAAGCAACAGATACATATGAAAGCAATTTTCACCTTCTACAAATTTCCTCCTAATCCAGTAAATTCTTGTACTAATAAAAATTCCATCTATCTACATTCTATCTAATGAATTAATTGACAAGATACACCTACGTATAACGAAGAAATAATGAGAGATAGTTTTGTTCCTTCAGAGTGAAATTAATCAGGAAATACTTACATTTCTAATACAAAAGATATTTTTGTTTTTGATGACATACGATTTTCATGACAGACCATATCACAACATTTTTACGTTATTTTGAACACCGCCAGGATTTAATTATCTTAAACTCAACACCGTTAACATTATCACCATATTCACTATATACTTTACACCTATAAAATATAAATATTACTTTTACAACGTAGTTACTTAAAATTTCACGAACGTCGACACCCTTTCCATTACCATTTATTGTTTCCTCTTCAAGAAAGTTGTAAATTTCGTGTACAATGTCCACACCTTCCTAAATCAACCTTTGTGAACAAATAGTTGCGGCAACGACATTGCATTCTTGCAATCGGGCCCCGATAATATCCCAGGGGCCCCTTCGATGGCTGGCTCGTTACCCGAGGCAGAATTACTTTAAAAGTAGGTAGCCACCGGCCGTCTGCTTGGCCGACCAATTACACCGGGGCCGACACCGAGTATATAGAAGAGCCACGGCGGCTCCAGAGACTGATTTCCGCTCGAAGAACCGCGAACCGAGCATCCACGTTCATCGACTCCTCCGCCCGTCACAGCCATGAGACTTCCAGTGAGTGATGATCAGATAAATTCAAATTTTATTCAAAATCGAATTTCATCCGAGTCAATTTGCTTGCTATTTGCATATCGATGGAATTATCGAGGGGAGGGATGAAAATTTAAAAGTGTCGAGTAGGAGTTAGTTTTTTTTTTTTTTTTTTGATTTTCAATTTTATGCTCGTAGTGACTGAGTGAAACATGTATATGTAGTTTGTTGATAATTTTTCGTTTAGTGATAGGTTAATAATACTTCATTGGTATTGCAATTTGTTGATGAAATCCCATTGGGGGATGGATTTAGAATTTGAAAGTGAATCCACTGTATATTTTTGGTTTTCTTTGATCATGTGAGTGAATCGGATTATTTGATTTTATTAAGAATGATGATTTTAATTTTTGGTGTTCCATTAATGGTGCGTCATCTTTTTGACTTGTTTTGGAATCACGATGGCACGAATTATCATTCGAGGTATGGCGATATATCATTTGATACTGGATGATGATCACAGAATCGATTTGTATCATTAACCACTCTCTTTGAGGCATGTTGCTCTTTATGGTGATGAGATAGAAAAGAGGTAGAAATAGAAAAAGTGGACGAACTTTGGTATTACGATGGTATTACACTATGAAACTATGTTTGATATTTATTTTTATTCCTTCTTTCTGTGTTCTTTCGTGTAATTTGAAATAGTAGAAAAATAAATTTAGTTATCTAAAATTTTAAAAATTGTAAGAAATTCCAAACTCGATTTCTATTTAAACTTTCGCAATCATTTATTCCCCTACTTCCTTCTTTTTCTAAAAATTTATTGTTCTTTTGATAGCAATAAATATAATTATGAATTAATTAATGCAGTTTCTCTTTCTTAAACATTATTATACACTGGTTCAAGGCTCGTGATTCGACTCGTGTGTATTTCACATTTCAATTCGCGATTTTAAAAACAGAATAATTCATCAAAATAAAGGGAAAAAAGAAAAATTCTAAGCTCCATTATAAAATCCTCTCAAACACGCACGCTTGTAATTTATTCACGGCCACCTCTCTCAGTTCTTACCACTCGAATAGTAATTACGAAACGAAAGTTCATTCTTCGAGTAATGGGTCTTAATTTCCCATACTTAAGGCATATCGAACAACCGTTTACAATTCATGGCACTTTCATGGAATATAATTAAACTTAATTTTATGATAATTCCAACTATAATAGAGGAAATGAACCAACGTTTAATCAAGGATCTTTAGAATTTTAGAACAGAATCAATCAAAAAATTTTTTTAATCGAATCTCTCCACCCTGAAACAGCAGCAAACCGACCAACGAATCGCTGACGCTCGATATTCCAAGCAGAGAGAAGGCCAGATCTCGCGCCCTCCTTTGACCAGAGAAAGACGACCAGAGGAAGACTTGGCTTTCTAAAGGATCTCGGATTACCGGCGGATTGCGCCATCGTCGCACTCGTTGTTGTATATTCGCTATTTCTCGCGATAATGCGCAATTTTATCTGTTCGCAGATCCTCCTTATCGCCTTGTTCTTGGTTTCGACCACGATGGCGCAAGAGAAGAACAGTCAACGTTCCTCTCGTGCACCGCAACTCAAGTATCAAGATCCGAACGGTAAGAGAGCACGAAAATCAACAATTGAAATGATATTTACACAGGACTACTACTTATCTCTCTACTTTCCTTGAGAGTAATGCAACAGATCGAATTTCGGCGGTGGGTTGAATTTAATTGGCATTTAGACGCGATGTCAGTAATTCGATCAACTTTGCTCTACGATTTGATTGCAATTGTTTGAAACAATTAACGATGTTCGTGTAATTTTGTTTTTCGTTTTAAATGAATTGCATGTACAAGAACATCAACAAATATCACTCGTATCTTTGGTTTAAAGGTCTAAAGATCGATTGGAAATTTTTCGGCACCCTGAACCAGTTTCGACCTCGACAGAAATCCAGCGAGCAAACGGAGGCGGAATCTCAGCAGCCTCAGTCACAACTCGTCCAGATCGAATCCGACCGGTTGGAGCACAGATCGTATTTGCAACAGCCAGAGGCTGAACAGATACAGTACAAAACGTTCGTTCAACCGATCCAATCATCGGATCCAAATCAAATTCACTACGGCAGATACTCGAGTTCTCACGCGAACCAAGTGATCGTGGAAGGGTTCAAACCCGCGAGTATACAACAACCTGACCCCTCGTCCACCGTTTACGCTTATCCTCAGCAACCTGGCCAACACGATCAGCAATCGGCCCAGTACGAGACGTCTGAGAATTATGAGGTGGAACAACAACGGAAAACCAGGCGAGAGTATGCGAACAGGGGTAGAATCGTGTACAAGGGGAGCTACGAGCAGCAGCAGCAGCAGCAACAGGAAGAGCCTCAGGTGGAGCACATCGCTGTGCCCGTGGAGAGGCTTCCATCGCCGATCCCTCAGAAATTGGTCATCGATAAGAACATGCCTGTTCAGATTCAACAGTTGCTCCAGTATCAGGCACGATTACCATATGAAGTGATCGCCAACACTATTACGTACAAGCCGAAATCTTTGTTCGTGCCTAAGCCGCTTCCTGTGGACGGGAAGGGGCCGTATCAGTATCGAAGCAAGGTTTATTACGTGAATAATGAACAGTATGACGACGACTTCGACACGACCAAACCTGTTCAAGAGAACCAGAGGCATTGATGGAATTTGGAATTTGGAATTTCATTGGAGTTGGAGTTTTTTTATTTTTGTTTGGTCGTAGATTTGATCGTTGAGATTGGAATTTTGATTGATTCGGTCAAAAGGATGATCGAAGATTTGATTTGAGTGAAAGGAAACGAAAAGGATTCGTCGTCGTTTTTATATTAATACTAGAATTACTAAGATGTATATCTGAATGTAAAATTATTTAAAAATAATTAGATATATTAATCGTGTTGTTTGTCTGGATAAAAAATCTTGATAATAATTTTGCTGATAATTATAAAAACGAAAATTTGAAACAAATTTTTGTCCATCATTCAAATTGGGAAAATCGGAAATATTTCCAATCTCGACATATTGAAGAAAGTTTACACATTCTGAGTAATATGTATATTCTGGTATATCATTAAGTCGCACAAATTATTTTATTAAATTCAGTCACTGACTTCAGCTTTAATTTTTATTCACGATTCTTCTTACAGCTTTAAATGGATACAATTGATTATCAATTTTTTCGACTTGGATTTCGTCATAACGGCGAAACTCGATTATAGCTTGTAATTCGTATATAATATATCACTATATACTTAAAACAAAAACCATATCATTGTAAATTTAGTATATAAATATTATTAATTTTCATACAAATTTACACATTTTTTAAAATATCACTTATGCCGCAATAAAAATCCCACTGATTTATAATTATACCTATTTCGATACGTTTGATAACAAAAATATAATATTATCATATTTCTTTAAGAATCACTTATGTCACAATAAATATTTCGAACCAAATATTTAACAATTATTATCGATCTTTTTTAATCAATACAAACTTCGAAAGAAAAACAAAAAAAAGAAACACGTAATTTCCATCCATCTCTATAAATTCCATGATATTCTGTTTCAAACGAAATAAATAATTCAAGCTTTTTTTCTCCATACAACAAAGTCATTCCTCGTTTCCAGACACGAGCGTGAATGGCGTGAACGGAACTTCCGGCGTAAAAGTAACTCGAGCGCTCGGTTACGAAATGGTTATCGATCTCTCGAGAGCCCCTTCCTAGGGGAATTTATCGAATATCACGCGCTCGAGCACGATCTGCTCCGTTTACTCGTCGATAAATCTCCCTTTATTGAAGCACGCGTAGAAAGTCGGATGGTTTCCACCTTTCTAATAAAGACGCGTGCTCCGACCGATGATGGAAAGCGATACGATAATATCCAACGTTCGTACGACAAGTCGAAAGTAAATACGATCGTTTGTTTCGAATCGACGATCGTGTATCGTGGAGTATAACATTTATCATTAGGATGTCGAGCGATATCTGTATAGGAAATCGATTTCATTTAATTCAGCCGAGGTATTCGTGTTTGTTAACATTGTAGGAAAGCAACGATCTATGTAATTTCACGTTGTATACCGGTTTGATTAATTAGAAAAAGAAGAGGAAATATACGTAAATAGTTGCGTGTCCAATCGAATACTTTAATTGTAGAATTTTCTTTCTTTTCTTGGATATGGAATTTTCTTGATATAGTTTTTTTTTTCTTGATTACTCGTTTATTTTAATAATTTAAAGTCTTCTAAAAAAAGGAGAAAGAATTTTATATTGTAAGAAAAATAAGAAAATTTAAGATATAATTTATTATATATAACAGATATAGTTGTTTTGTATTCCAACCATTAATTTTAATTATACAAGAGAGAGTCGAAGAGGTGAATTACATATTTCATTACATATTTCAAACGATTTTCCTTTCGAACGAATATCTGAAATAATTTTATAATTTCCTAATTCGCGTTTAGAAAGAATTACCATTTCCTTAACCGTTGCAGAACTTCCGGTTTTCTGCTCCACTTTTAAGGTAAGGCCTCTTAATTACCGTTGGAACAAAACAAAAGATCAAAGATTTAGTTTTTTCGAAGAGTATTATAGAAGTTCGTAACGAAAGTGACAGCATTTCGAGCGTACAAGGAAGAACATAGTATGTAAAATAGTTTCGTGGCCTTCACGCATCGTGAGTGGATTCGCGTTAACTCCCGCCATTTGCGATTATGCACACGCTCAGCTGTACGTGCTACAACTTTCGTTTCTATTCTGTCCACAAACATGTTCATATTTCACTGGATAATCTTTGGGTTCGTTGATCCGAAGAATGAAACGATGTTCATTTCAATTTCTTTTCGAAATCCACCTTTGAGTTCATTAATCATCAATTCGTAAAGTTGGACTAATGAAACGACATTACAATTTTTCTATGATTATTCTATAGTAAGAAATAAGGTTATAATTAAAACAGAAAAAGATATTTTGCTATATTATTTGTTATAATGTAACGTGATAAAAATTAATTAAAGATTGAATAAAATAATTAATAACAGATCTGTGTTCGATTTACAAGAGGAGAATCACGATAAAAGACTTGATTTCGTTCCAGAGAACCGGAAAACCGATGGAATAACTCGATTCGTGAAGCGTGATTATATGCTCTCCTCTTACTTTTCATATTTTATTCGAATCTTTTCGTTCTCTTCCGGCAAAAAAAAACAAGGAAAAGAAAATCTTCAATATAATGATATCGAATCTCACATTTGTAAATAATCATGTCGAATTATTAATATACTAATTGTATATATTATATCACATTAATTTCATGTTATTTTAAATTTTTAATTCATTTAATTACAATTAATAATAAATTACACAGTAAGTAAATATAATAGATTGAATGCAACAGAATACGTGAAAAATTAATTATTCACGATTGATATCTATTTGTTTTATTTATTTGCAATGATTACTTAAGTTCAATATGTGCATAACCGCATTTAATTGTTGTATAGGGTCGTTGCATGGTGGTAACCTTTGAATGGATTCTCTACATGGGAAACGTGTCTTTGAATCGCATTCCTTATCGATGGCTTCAGCGTTTTTTCCAACGATGCAATCGAGTGTACGCTTTTATGAGCAACGAAGAAACATAGTTACATTCATTGAATCTTCGCAATACTTTTATTAGCTTTTCAAACACCTGGGTGAAAATAGAGACACCTTTAGTTCAATTTCTTAAAATGTTACAAAAAAGAAAAATACATTTTGATGTATAATTTTTCTTTTACCGAATAAATATAATTTAATGATTTAATACACTTTTGGGTAAATCTTTCACATAATCGTTATAAAATTATTTCTTTTTACAATAACTAAAAATAATCCCGTCATTAATCATAAACTGAAAACTTGTGCAATGTTAAAGCAAAAAATTTATTCATCGCCAAGACAACATAAAAATAATTATTATCTAATCTTCGTTAATTCGTTTAAAAAGAAAAACAAATACCAATTCCTTTTAATTAACTCTCCATCAAGTATCAAAACACTTCCTCCTCTCAAAACATTTCCGGTACCACAGCATATCTTATGGCCAGTGGTGAGCCACAATAGTAAGTTTGTTCGAGAGGAAGCATCATCATTGGCAGTGAGACCGGGCGAAATGGAACTGAAGGAGAGAGAGAGAGAAAAAAAAGAAGAAGGAAAAAAAGAAAAGGAAAAAATTCTGAAAAGCCAGTTCCGTGGAACGGTAATCCAAGTAGCAGATAAAACGGAGGGCTGGTGGAGGTGGGACGAGAAGTCACATCCCCGTCGCCGAAAGCCGCCTTTTACGTAGCCGCCTATAAAGTTGTTCCGGTGACCGCGCGGCCGCCTCAGATACACTCCACCCTTGAACGCATCGACCAGCATTGCTTTCTCGCCATGAATTTCCTCGTAAGTACCTCACTCCTTTCTTAATTTGTCGTTCTCGAACCTCAACAGCGGTGAATGAATTAATTCGATTTCGATTCAAATTTTCCCTTTTATTTTCCTTTTATTTTATTTTTTTATTCACCTAATTTTGTTCTCTGTGATTTATCGTTTTCTAAATTTGTTTTCTACGGTTTGTGGTTTAATATATTGGCGAGTAGAAAGATTGAAAGGTATGATGGGTGTTAAAATTAGAGCATAGCAGAACGAAATGTGTCGCGTGTCGTTTAAATCGCGATTGCGAAATTAAATTGTGCACACTATATTTATATATTTCTTTTTTATTTTCATTTCGAATAAATTTGTCCAAATTTTAGTTTCCCCGTTATTATTAATAGTTTATTCTTCTGCTTTTTATCCTTCGTGTTTTATGGTTTAAATTATATGGAAATATATGGGAGAAGGGTAGAATGAAAATTGAGACGTGTAGAAGGAAATGTGTCGTGTGTGGTTAATCGCGATGAGATGTCCCTCGCCACAAGTTTCCGGTAAAATGGCGTACGTGTTTGCGCATTGTGGGTCAATTATATCGTGGGTGTACGAGTTATTTCGAAAGGAAAGTCGCCTCGTTGTACACCGTAAAATTGGTCGTGAAATTGTTTTTGGGTGAGATTACGAAATTATACGCTGGAAATAAAACGTACGTATGATTTAGTAAAGATGATTTTATGAATTTGATGAAGAAATTGGCTCTCATAATACAAATACAATGGACAAAACGTGATTATAAGAAAACGTCGTGTTGAATACGATTGGATAATAACCGATATTTATGCGATAATTTTCTTCTCAGTGATTGTTGATGCTTTATTTGTTAATTAATAAAATTGATAGCGATGAGAATTTCTCGAAGTATTTTTGCTCGTGGATATTCACTTCTTGTTATTTCTGGAAAAATTATTATCCATATATTTTCTTTTTATAATCGCTGCGAAATGAAAGTTTCATAAGAAGTAAGGACATTCGTGTATGTATCCACATATAGTTGTACCTCTTTTATCCAGTTTACTACAACTTTTTTACAGTTACCTGATAATTAGAGTAAAAATAGGACACTTGTGTAGAATGTACACAGTATTCTTTTACTTTCAGTAGTTGCGGTCAGAAACATTTTTATATTTATAATATTTTTCAATTTATAGGAAGCATGAATTTTTTATAGAAAAAAAATCTCTAATCGAAACAAATAAAATATTTATAAAATACAATGCAAAATTATTACTTGTAATATTTATTTTAAAATTTATATTAACGAAAAATCATAAATAAATACAAGTATACAGAAAAACAAATAACTTCATAATATAATTTCTTCAACGAAGAATTTGATTGAATTAAATTACAAAAACGTAAATAATTGGACAAAAGAATTACAACATGTAACATTCCATGTCTCGATCAACATTTTCTGACAAGGAATCATTACGCCAAACAAGAACCCTTTTCTTCGAGAATAAACGAAACAGGCGTGTCTTGTCAGCTAATTTATATTTCACTTTCCATAGGCTAGCGTGTAATTCTTACAACGGTTGTGCTCGATAGCCTGTGTTAGTTTCCATGATAGATTTTGTTTCTTTTTCCTCTTCGATTGGAATGGATCGGAGAAAAGGTACACCAATACTCGTCGCCTTTTTCCGATTACGGAAACTGCCGTTGCTAATCGAAATGCGAAACTTTCCCCTTAAGAAATTGGAATTTCGTCGATTCGATAGAACCCATCGACAATTACCAAACTTAATCGATTTTATAGGAATTTTTTTCTAAAGCGAATTAAATTTTTCTTATATTTA